GTTGGTTTGTTGTTTAACGCCGCACTCAGCAATATTCCAGCTTTATGACGGCGGTCTGTAAATAATCGAGTCTTGACCAGACAATCCAGTGATTAATATCATGATCATCGATCCACGCAATTGGGATCGATGACATGCATCAACCAAGTCAGCGAGACTGGCCACCCGATCCCGTTAGTCGCCTTTTACGACAAGCATAGTCACTTTTTACGGCAAGTATTGGTTGCTGAAGACCTATTCTACCCCGGAATCTTCACGGGTCCGACCAGCAATGGGGTGCTAAGGACACATTCTACCCCGCTTCCACACGGGGGAAGAGCGATTGCCGTTACCCAGCACTCACCATGAGGAGGTTGCTCTTCATGAGTGCCGGGATCAAGTAGACTAAGTACAAGTCACACATTGAGATTGTTCATATATGGAAGAGTGAGTAAGTGAGTTGGGTTTAACGACGCTTTTTACAGTATTCCAGTTATATCGCGGCGTGTCAGCTTAATGTGAGAGGAAAGGCCGAAGTGATGCAGATCTCAGACGTTTACCACTTCGGTGAAACCCACGAGCACGGGTATGGTGCTGAAAAACCTAGAAACATAATCGGGGCGAACCGGGATTCGAACCCACAACCTTAGGTTTCTGGCGTGCCGAAGGGACGCAACTCTGCACAGCAAACCACGGCGCCTTAGACGACTGGGCCACACGTTACCCCACACATGGAAGAACGTGTGTGTGTGGAGAGAGTGACAATGAACATTTTGGAAGCTTTTTCAAGGGCATTACAAAACAATACATGGCAACTATGCTAAATTAGAATTACAGATGAGTTTTACAACGCTTGGTTCCTGTCATACTTATTCATTTGTTAACAGTCACGGTGTGACAATATCATTTCAACTCTCCTTCCCGTACAAGTGTGTGTTAACCGTTTGAGTTTATGAGGTGAGGTGAAAATGGGTTTAACGTCGCGTCCAAGATTATTGCACTTATATAGCGACGTGCATGTACGTGTATGTGTGTGTGTGTGGCTGCTTGTACTAGTCCCGACTTATGCCGATTTATAGTGCTAGCTCACTGAGATACCATGCCGCAGTTTAACATGAATACCCCACTCAGACACAGTATACTGACTCCGAGCCGACCAGTCCTTGTTTTAGCCCCTTAATGCCGAGCGCCAGACAGGGTAACAAAAAGTACAACCTTTTAACGTCTTTTTGTATGACGCGGCCCGGGATCGAACCCTGGACCTTCCGCTCTCCAGGCGGACGCTCTACCACAAGACCACGGAGGCGGTCTTTGAGTTGATGAACTTGAAATATCGTGAATATGATAAAAAACAATGGCATTGTTCTCTTTGAGTAGTTGGTTCAATGCCTATAAATCCAACAGACAAACAAGAACGATTCATAGTTCATTTGTGAATAGTATTCCGCAAGTCTTGTTTGCGGTGTACACTGAGTCTCAACGCCATGTGTGGTGAAGCAAGTCCCCATTGTAATCCCACCTACCACTGTCTGCACAGGGAGGATACACCGTGTGACCTGATGAAATGGTCAGTTCGAGCCAGTGAGAATTGATCAATAACCACCTTGTTTACACAACCATGCCCTTTTAAATTAAACGACGAAATGTACCTCGATTATTGTCTTGGAAGCTTGGAAATCGTATCTGATTGTGCGGAGTTATTTGTTTGCACACCCAATACCAATCAAACCATGAAACTTAATCGACTCTCTATTCGAACCCACAGACATTGTTTCCGGTACACAAAAGGGACGCAACTCTGTACAGCTAATTGAGGTTCCTTATAAGCCTCGTCTCCCCAAATCTCTGTTAGTTCTACCACACATAGAAACCTGGTAGAATAGGTCCCCAGCAATCAGCGACTTTCGGTATTTTGAAACACATGAGGAAGCTCACAGGGACACAACGTATATATAAGGGATATACCTGAATAAATATGGGGTGGGTTACTATTACACATAAAGGGAAAGTAAGCGTAACACAGATAACCTTGCATAAATAGGAATGTGTGACCTCGTGGGGTGAGTAATATAGTTATTCCTAGTTTCATACCTCGACTTAATGTAGCAATTCGTGTCTATCTGATAATTTTGCTGCAATGGCCATTTTGAAATATGGTGGTCAAACACAAAATGCTAATTACTGTCCATCTCATCAGTATGTGTTACAATGTATATTGTGTCTTGACTATAGACTGATTAACGAGTTAATATTTTGTATTAAATATTTTCTCTTAGCATTATTGCCAATAGACTTTTCACAATACATTTGCGTCTAAAGCTTCGACACAGTCCATGCGATAAGCAGATCATGTACATATGTTCGAGAAAAGGGAGTGAACACGTGATGGCTCTCCTAACAGAGACACGTTGTCATGCACTGACTATGCACTGTCATATACCGCGGTGGCAATGCTTTGTTATATAATCATAAAATACGCCCTGTTGTATGACAGTTAAATACATAAATGTTAAACTGTTTCTCACAGCTAGGTCCTACCTACATCCAGCCTTATAGAATCCTGCTGTAACGGCAATAAATGAACATCATTAAATATCATTCACTGCTAATGATTACATTCAGATTGATTTCAATCGGCACTTAATGTTTATTAAATCTCCGCATTAACACCGCTACAGTATGGCAGGAATAGCGGTGTAATGCATTAGGTGTCTTATACATGCACTTAGTAGTGTTATATTGCAGTGGATATTATTGTAGGTAAAATTATTAGTAGCGTTTGTCAGAGGCTGCAAATGGCTAAACGCTCATAAAATATTGAGTGCTGTTGTGGCTAGAGTGTAACAGGAAGTCTGGTTAATTAAGAGAACTCCCCCTTGGCTGGTGACAAACATAGGCAGTATGGTCGATGGCGTAGTATTGTGATGCGACAGTTTCAAGGAGTCTGGCTGTATCTATGTACTAGTGACTGGAGGGCGATTCGATAACAACATATTTGTTTATTTATTAAATTGCAAATTCAATCTTTTTTAATACTGTGATTATTGGAGATTACAGACTGGACATGGCTTACCTAAACGGTGTGAACCATTGTAACTTTGAATGTTTTCTGGTTGTGTACCACAGACAGCATTACAGCTTGGTATTTGAAAGAGATGTCCAACAAGGAAGAACACTGTACTATGGACAGTTGTACACGATGACATACACTAATGCTGGTCAATCACTTTAACTAGTCCATCCCAATTTAGACGCATCTAACGAAAACAATTAAAGTGGGCAGTCCGTTTGTCATCGAATTTACAAACCAATACTTCCGTTAACTGAAACATATGCACTGAGTATTATCAGGTAAAAGTAGTTCGACAATATATTCTGAATTTCACAGAGGGAAGATACCTTATATGTCCCCAAGGGATTGAATATTTAGAATTATGAGAGGAGACCCGCGTCATTTGTTAAATATCGTAAGGAAACGGAGACGGTTACAGGAAAAGGGAAAAAATCCATTCTCATTGGGTCATTTGTTATTGGCCGTGGACGTGTTCGAAGCCACTGAATCTCTACTACTTCGTGAGTTATGGTCCTGCAGCGAACACACTGTTTTTGTTTTTTTCAAATGTATCAGAAAGAACATGAGTGATTAAAATGACATGACAATCTCTCCTAAAACATATAATGGAATAATTGGGTGGTGTGTACTGATTTGTATCGTAAAATGTGTTAGAGCATACAGCAGAGGTAGCTACAATACAAGGGGTATTACATGATGATATTCACTTGGAAGTAGAAGAATATCACAGTCGATTTGTATCACTGAGAGATGTATATCGGTAATAGATCATCTTAGTGAGCAGTAAATTTAAAGTCGTGAACATTACCTTAAAGTTAACAATCAATTTCCACTTGGCTTTATGAATGCAAAAGTCCTCCTACACAGCAAGGAATGTGGCCTCCGAACAATAAAAAATAAACACTGGGAAGAAATATATCTTTCATATTCAAGATACGCTGATTTAATCTGACCATACTTCAAATAATCGTGATGCAAGCAACACAACTAGCCACAGCGAAGGTGTGCTAAATCAACTGTATTATAGGGAAATGTGTTGTGTTACAGGGAATGATCGTGATAGATGTTCTGATATGTGGCCGTATGCAGACATGTGAGAGCTAGACGTTAATACAGGAAAACACTCTCAATGTCAAGTGGTTATATGAAGAGTCTCTTTCTTAAACTGACTCATATTATATTTACTGTATTTTTCCTGAATTCATTTTATATGAAAATATAATGAATACCAACGAAATACGAAAGATAAATATATTAAATGAAACCTTGATAGGGCGACTCCTGTAATCGGAGCCCACCTGTTGGGCGGACACCAGTAGTAGTCTATTCCATTAAGGCCAAAATACAAAATATTAGCAACATTACTCTGAGCATGTTTGAAGCATGGACAGAGTATGATTTCATCGACTCATACTGCTTGGAAGTCGTGTTTACTATGTGACATTACCGATTTCATTATTTGAGAATTTGGCGCTCAGGCCCCTCGGCCACATCGGCAGTGTATTCCATACGGCTTCACTGAAGTAAGATGACTAGAAGCATCTAATGTACAACAACGCGTTTAAACGCTAGAACTAATCAACAACTGCACTATTGTCTCCAGAATTAATTGACCTGTAAATGAAACATTATTAAAGTACAATTTGATCAGTATACTGTGAATATACCACGCACACTGCACATTGGAAAACAAATAGACAATGTCCTGTGGATATGGATACCTAAACTTCATTGTCATTTATAATGGACTATGCAATGTCTTTATACACTGAATGATTACAATGGGTGATTAACCGTTAACAAATTCTATAAGCCACTTAGATTAATCTTGGATCGAATACAGTCACCCAATGTAATGCGTTTGATGAATGTGCCGTGATAACAAATGGCCTGCCTGCCCTATAAGAGCAAGAACACAGTGATTCCATGTATATAACTTCCACAACAATGCCTGCAACAGTGATACCCGCGGGGAGGAAAACAGCCTGGAAAAAAGATCATCCATCTACTGATCATGACATTGTAGATCTGTGGACTGAATTCACAAACAACACAGGTATTCACGGTGTCAACAAGCTCAGACCAGGACGCTACAGAGTCCGATGGTAAGTAGGTTGCCTCAGATTGTGTGTGTGTGTGTGTTTGTGTGTTTGTGTATGTGTGTGTGTGTGTGTGTGTGTGTGTGTGTGTGTGTGTGTGTGTGTGTGTGTGTGTGTGTGTGTGTGTGTGTGTGTGTACATATTTATGAAATAGTATTATTTTCAAGGTTTGAACTTTATCATGATTATGTTACATAACTTAGATAGTTTTCTCAATGTCCCCAATCTTCGGCTATTAACGAGTGATTTCATTTAATACATGTTAGGATTAACTTAATAATATTTATGAATGAGTTGTTTCCTCTCTTCGTCAAGTATTCAAATTCATCACCTATGACATACAATTGATAGAGTGGGCATTTTCTTCCAGATAATGGTATTTTCCTCCATCTGCCTGTTTCAACTGGTAAAGTGTGATTGGACGTTCTGAACATAAGTAAAGTTCTCCAAACAGACGTTAAGCAGTCATTTTAACAACTCAATACATGGGTCATGTTGTAGTGTAGTTTACCTTTAACAATATGTTTCAGATAGCCTTGACTTTGAATATTGTGTTATATCCATACATCACAAAAAAGTTAATCAAGGTTCCCCTTGCATTATCATTAACAATCATTTATACATTATTAAAGATAATTTAGAAGTTTTCCGAGATAGCCTTCTTGCCCCCAAAATAGATCATTTTAATATGAGAGATGAGATCTTCCAAGTTCGCCATATATCATAAGATACAGTACTCTTTCGTAGTGAAGTAAGGTGTTTGATAAAACGAGGGTAAGTAGTTTATGTAATAGAAAGATTTTCAAATTCCCGTATTTTGCTACATTGAGATCCAGTGGACATCCAATTTACAAATACTTTTTTCCGCCCTTGGCATAGACTATAATACATTGCTTTAAAATTTAGTGCCTTCTTCTGTTAACTTTTGCTTCGTACCTGTAAATTGGCGATACCTTTGCACGATAACAACAGGTATTGACAGGATTCCACATTTCCTAAACTATATTCACTTACATTGAAACCGTTTTTGTAATCTATTTTCGATCCGCCAAAGCTCATTACTTTGGTGTTGGAAATATTAATATTAACCCTCCAGTTTTTACAACATCTTTGAATGAGTCTGACGTATTTTGCAACTCCTTCGAAGTTGACGGCAACATAACTGCAACATTTTCTATTCGTTCATAAAATGTATTGGATTTTAACTCCACACCTTTGCAAGAGTGATGTTTCAAGGTCATCCAGATACAATGCAAACAAAAGAGTTTTCTACTTGCCTTAAACCTGATTTTGACGGCAAGAAATTCATAAAATTTTCATTACAAATCATGACATGATTTTATATTCTGATAAATGTTATGAATAACTTTGAAGCATTTGCCAGATATGCTATATTGTCATAGTCTTTTGCCTAATTCCTGATCGCTAGACTCTGTTGAATACTATTTGCGTTGTGTCAAGCAGCCATGTTATTTTATTAGGTTATGCCCCGGTCACACATTCACGGATCGGACGCCGGATTAGCCTCGGATACGATCCGGCATCATTCGTGGCAATCTGTAGTGGTCCGTAGCTGTCCGTATTGTATCCTGGGTCAATCGTAGTAGTACTTGTATATCCGTGACAATTTCTGAGCATGTTCAAAAATTCCCCACGGATTAGACAACCGTAGTACATCCTTACTGATCCGTATAAGAACGTACTTATCCGTTGTAGTCCGTAATAAACCGTACTTATTCGTAGTACATCCCCGGACTCAAGTCGCCAAGGATCGGTAAGGTTAGTTACGGTGAACTACGTACGGTTACACCACGGATTAGCGAAGGATACAATACGGTTTGTTACGGATTTGTCACGGATCAGCACGATCGCACTACGTTCTATTAGGGATAGGTAGAAATTACCAATGTTTCTCAAGGATTCCTACGGGTGACTACGTGACATCACGGCATAATACGGCTTACTGCGGTCCACTACAGTTACGGATCATCTAGGTGTCACCCCCGTTCTGTCACCAGACTTCCAGTTTATAGGGCTCTACTTCATATCTGTTTCATCCAAGAAGTCTACATCTAACAACAACCAACATGAACAACCAACAACTGAGGCTGGCACTTAACTGGCTGGACCTGGACATTAATATCGCACAAAAAGCCAGGGCCATGGTGGAGCTGCTTGAGGACAGACTGAGAGGTGACCGGATGCAGAAGAGATGGTGGACCAGGGACTGGCTCCTCCGACGACCCATCCACGGCCAGTATGAAGCACTCATGGCTGAACTGAGTGTGGAAAATCCATCTGCTTTCAAGAACTTTGTGAGAATAGACCTACAGATGTTCCAAGTAGTTACAAGTAGTGGGTCGCATGATTATGAAGAACATTACCTGGTACAGACAGTCTATCAAACCTGGAGTGAGGCTAGCAGTCACCCTGCGATACCTGACTACGGGGGACAGCTACCGGATCTTGATGTATGGTTTTCAGGGTGGCGCACAATATCATCTCTGGTATTGTTCGGGACATATGCGAGACCATAATTGCAACATACATGTATGCTGGGGATGTTATCGACACCCCTACTGAGCCTGAACAGTGGCAGGCAATAGTCGACCAGTTTTCTGCAAAATGGCAATTCCCACATGCTCGCGGTGCTCTAGATGGCAAACATGTTGCCATACGGTGTCCTAAGAACGGTGGCTCCCTATACTACAACTATAAAGGATATCACTCAATAGTTCTGATGGCTCTAGTCGACGCCGATTACAAGTTCCGGTGGGTGAATATTGGTGCACAAGGTGGTTGCTCCGACGCTCAGATTTGGAACCAGTGTGAGCTGAAAAACGCCATTGAAAGGGGTGTAATCGGCATCCCACCAGCAGCTCCCCTTCCCGGTGATGACAGACCGATGTCTTACTATATCATTGCAGACGATGCATTTGGCATGAATACCTGGCTCATGAAGCCCTTCTCCAGGCGGGGTCTTGCAAATGACGAGAGGATCTTCAACTACCGCCTCTCGAGGGCCAGACGAGTTTTGGGAAATGCATTTGGTATCCTTGCAAACAGATTCCGGTGTTTGCTCTCCGTCATGTTGCAGGACCCTGATACAGTATATGCCATAGTCCTCGCCTGTGTGTGCCTTCACAACATCATGAGGGTCAGATATCCTGGTGAACAGAACCCTCTCATTGATCAAGAGGATGTTAACCACGACGTCATCCCTGGAGCCTGGAGAGAGGGTGTTTACATTGACGATGTGCAGAACACCAGGGGTGGCAACTTAGACACCTTGGAAGCGAAGCAGCAGAGGCTGTACCTTTAAAACTACGTCAATTCACCTGTCGGGGCGGTGCCATGGCAGAATAGGATGGTATAAAAAATCATTCTTCAGAACGGTCGAATTGTGTTGGATATTTACAGATCGTGTTTTATTAATATTATAATTATTATTAAAAACTTTGGAATACGTTTTTATTTGTACTTACATAAAAAAACATACACTAACATCATTTACAAATGTTTATATCAACCTTTTATTTCTGTCTTTATTTCTCACTTTGTGAATTTGAAACATAATATATTCTTGAACAATAAAAATTGGAAAAAAACATTGCTCCTCTCTTTCGTGGTGGCATTTTGAAGTTGTGGAATGAACACGCGACGGCGGGAATTCATGTATACGGATTGCTTATCGTTGCAAGTTCCATGGCGCTCCGTGAGAGTCCGTACTTATCCGTGCCAGACCGTTCTAATTCGTGCTAACCCGTACTACAATCGTAGCGAACCGTTGTTAATCCGCAGTGCATAGGCCGTGAAACGTGTCATTCCGTACTAAACAATACCAAACCGTACCGAACCGTAGCAATCCGTATCACTCCCCGTTGTCAAGTTGCCCATTTTCTGCATTATCCTTGCTTGATCCGTAAAAACCCATAGTCAAACCGTGGTGCATCCGTAGAGGACCACGGATATAGTCTTTTCCGGGGTCATCCGTGAGTTTCCATCCGTAGTGGATCCGGCAAGACAATCCGTGAATGTGTGACCGGGGCATTAAGGACAAATTCCGGAGCACCTTCAGAATACAGAACCACAACTTCTCGTGAGGACTATCTCTGCCGTAGGTCAGGTGATGCGACCTTCGGATTGTTAGCTAACCGACTGAGCTACGTCAAGACTGTGAAACCAAGTTCAAATTTACCAGGTCATGCCTACGCCGTTACGAATAGGTGAGGGACATTTACACGGATCACCGGTAGGCACGGTGTCTCGTGACTTTAGTCCCATTCCGTAATCATCACCGAGTGGTGAGGATTTAACCGATATATGGCGCGAACCGAAAACGACTCTTGGCGTCAGGCGTCAGACGAGAGAGGAACGAGGGAGGCGTAAGCATGGCTCTTGACGACGCAAGGGTGAGTTCGCTTTTGAATCAGAACTGAATAAATGTAGAGGGTGAAAGTGGCTTGTGTGAATGTTCCAGGACAGTTTCCCGAAGCAAAAATATTCGACATTAAGCCATTTCATCCTTTTTTCTCGACGTTTTTGTGTGAAGAATATTAGGAGCCGCTACATAATTTATAATAACCACTAAACGGGTACCTAACCCCAATGATCGTAAAGCTAGGGTTGAAGGGCTAATGATAGAGTTCTGGTAATCTAATAGCCATTAAACGGGTACCTGCACCTAATGATCCTAATGATCGTAATTGATCGTAAAGGGGATCCAAGGACTAAGGATAGAGTTCGTCGCGACACCGGCGACATTTGGATGTGTTCAGTGCCAATATAATAAACCTAATAAACTGCATTCCTGTGCATTATAATGAAAGTTAATGAATCGAAAAAATAATATATGTATATTAGTTCCCATTTATAATCATTTAAGCCACTTGAATTACGAAAAAACCCGGAAAAAAATACATTGAAAATACAAGTGCTTTGAAAACTAGTGCTTGCTATATAAAATGCGCCGCCACAGGCTCTATTTAGTAAACAAACATTCCAAACTCTCAACATCGCTGGGCGTATTCATTGACATTGCGTGCCGAGATGATAGATCCCTGGGAACAGCTTATGCACACTTGATTTCCCCTGACGTCACAGGGCATTGTTTCGCCGGTGTGACTGGCAACAAAACACTACAAATTACGTCATAGGGTATTGCCACGTGTTTGAACAGTTTGTTGTACTTTCTTCTAAAGGTGGGCCCAAAATCCTTTATTTCGTCTCTTGTTATCGCATTGTTAAGTACTTTGCTTTCTTCGTCGTTATATTCTTATCGGGAATCAGAACAGAATCATCGTCTGCCGATTACCCGTTTATGTTTTTGAAGAAATAAAATAACAATTCACTGTCAGGTAAAGGTTCATCGCCTTCCTGCTTTTGCCTTAATATTTTCCAAAATAATAATGTTGTTTCAACATTGATTAAATTCTCTTGTAATTGTCTTGTGTATATAATAACGTTATCAAGCTTGTGAGTTTTGGGTGGTACATCTCCTGTATCAGGAATACACAAGATTTCCTTTTTAATGGAAACTAAAAAGTGCAGTTTGTTACTCGTACGTCGATACAAAACTCATCATGTATCCAAACAGACAGTTTTTGACATTACAGTGCGACATGGGCAGTTGCAGTCCTGGTGATGTCAGCGTACATGTCCTATTCTGTAACGAAGGAGCTGATGAACTACTACAGATACCCAGTGATCACCAACACGAAGGTGGAGGTGCTCGAGGAACTGCCTTTCCCAGCTGTCACCTTCTGCAATATGAGTCCGTTCAACCTAAGCAAAATTAGAGCAGCTGATTCTTATCTTGAGAAGTTCTTCACAAAACAGAGCCATACTGGTTCATTACCAGTGCCCATAAACTGGACGGATCCAGGATATGGCGGTTCCGCGTTTCAGGATAGTCAGAGCCGAGATTGGTGGAGAAACTTGAGCATGAACCCTGAGGAAATGTTCTACATGTGTCAGATGGATGGCGTTCAGTACGTGCCATGCGCATTATCAATGAAGCCTATTTATACAGGCTCTGGCTTTTGTGCAACGTTCAACTGGAATGCTTCTGATGTAGCTAAAGTGCGAGTGACTGGATCAAATAAAAATCTAGTTATGTATGCCAGAATTGATCAGGGTAACTATGTCCTCATACGCGAACTTGCAGCTGGATTAAAGGTATGAATGTATCGCAGTGATAGACAAGTGTCTAATTCGAAAACAGTTCTCGTTAAAGAGTCCATTTGTCTGATAAGCCAACATATATACATACCTTATATTGCTTGATATGAAGCAGCTACATGAACTGACCGTACTTCTTGGTGGAGCTATTCTATGTCTATGTCACTCTCGAAATGAAGGTCCTTTTTGATCGCCGCGTTTATTTCATCTCACATAAACTATGCCTAATCGATGTCTTTATGTCACACTAAAAACTGTAACGAATTTGAACAACCAGTTAGTACCCAGGTTATTTATCAATAACATTTACAATGTTTATAAGCAATATGCCAGCCATATCCTCACAGGGACACTAGAAATGGGCTTCGCACATTATAACAATGTGAGACATCGATCCTGAGGCTTCGGTGTGACGTGTGACCGCCTTTGCCACAAGGCCTCCCACGCCGCCCTGTGTTTTCTATGTGAAATCCTGTAGTTCAAGGCAACGCAGTTCCTTTTCCCGAACTGTTGGCTTTTATCCACAGATCGTCAGCACTATGTACCAAAGAGGGATTTACTTCTGTATTAAGGTGACACGCTATGATATCGCTGAAACAATTAGAAAGACATAATCCAGGACCGCCTCCGTTGTCTGGTGGTAGGGCATCTGCCATGTCGTTATTAGCGTGTTCGTTATAACCGTAGTTTACTGTATATGACGGCGGCCATTACATAATGGAATCTGGTCCAGAGAATCCAGTTGTCATGAGTATCGCAATCACAACTGATCCTGTTAGTCGCTTCTCATGACAAACATGGGTGTGAAGAATAAATACAGGAAATGCGTTTTGCGTAATTTAATGTATTATACAATGAAGACATCATATAACTCTAATACAAGGTATATCACAACCCTTTATACGATTCATTGATTGCAGGTCACCCTGCATGATCCCCGAATTCACCCAGATTTAGTGGCATCCTCCTTCCTGGCAGCTCCAGGGACATCGACATACGCGGTCGTTCAAAGATCAACGGTACGTCACTTGTTAGTGTCACAATGAACACTCATGCACGATATGCTAGTACATAAACGTCCAACTTCCCATTGCCTTTATTCCATTCATTACATAGTTCTGTACCGGTTTAACACCATCCGATGAACAGAACGATGTAAATAATCTAATTAACAGATAGATGTAAATAAAATACGAGTACGATGTTAATGGACAAAAGGTAAAGGGATTGAAATAAGACTGACATGGTATTTATATACTTGCAACTGATATTGCAGGTGAGATTACCTCTCAAAGTGAAACACGGTTATTGCATTATACCAACGATAAAACGAGGCGTGAAGTGAGTGAGTAAGTTAGGTTTAATGGCCCTTGTAAAAACGGTATTCCAGTTACATCACGGCGAGTCAGTTTGATGTGGGAGGAAAGCCTGAAGCGATGTAGGCTTCCTTTGGTGAAACCCAGCAGTTAGTGAGTGAGTGAGTGAGTGAGTGAGTGAAATTGATGGTCAAGTAAATTACACGGGAAGTACGTGCAGCATTCTTACTCAGGTAGCTAAAGGTACGGCGCTTTCTCGTTTGTATTTGTTCGCATTGGTCACGAGTTCTCCACACAATGCCATTGAAGTGAAGGGCATATACCTGTTTTAGCATATGGTAATTGTCGGCTTCCACTATTGATATCGCACATCAAATTACATGTATTGTCCAAAATCAATATATATATATATATATATATATATATATATATATATATATATATATATATATATATATGACGCAAGCGATGTGGTCATAACTTTCTTATCAATGTAGCTTGTAAATTAAGACATATTATGCACTGGTTAATAATAACTTTGTTTTACTTCTCTCAGCATTTGTTTCTTGCAACAGATTAGGAATATTGTCGTTACAATGGAAATGAATTCCTGGCTGCAATGCGACATATATAATGTTTATGCATCATTCTGGAAATGTGTGGTGCTATGTCGTGTATCTGGGCCCTTTGAGAAATGATAGCGTGGAGGTTGCTTAATAAATTTGCAAGTAATTGCAGACACATTTTCTTGTTACAGTGGTCAATACATAATCTCTTCAATTATCGTATTAGATGTCTTGTCGCTTATTAACAGTACCAGTATTTGCCACCGCCCTACCAGGCCTTCAAGAACCGAACATGTGTGGACACGTCTTCGCCCTCATTTAACAACACCCTGCAGTACTTCGACATATACACATACGAAAACTGCCTGAGGGAGTGTTTTGCATTGATAGCATACCACCAATGTCAGTGTGTGTCATTGGGCGATGATGGTAAGCTTATCTATCATTCGACTGTAAATAACTTTTTGAATGTGTAATTCTTATACACAAGTATGCAAATATCATATGTGAAAGTTGTTGTTATCATTATATTTACTGTCTTGTGTAAAGTGCACCTGGTCTCTTTAACGATATGAGGGTATTTAGTCAAGTGTTACAAAATCCTGGTACAGGTTGCCCTGAACGTTAGACGTTTCTGAAAAAACACAAACAAGTATTGAGGTAAAGCTTGTTAAAATACGGCAGCGCTAACAAAGAATTTGACTTTATATACTGAACCAAATTAAAAACTTCACAATCCTAAAATTTTAACATTTTGACCAGTTATCATTGTTGGCCCTTATTGTGTATTTAAACAGTAATGGCCACGTATTGTCTTCATATAACACCCGTTTTTGTGCAGGTAAATCGATCAAAATCATGTGCACAGCACAAAAGTGGCAAAAGTGGTTTTTCACGTGCAACTGGTCACGTGGCCATAATACCGCACGTGTTTTCAGCCATACTTGTTAGCAGTCATTAACAAAAAAAGAAAAACACAAGAAAACAAAAGTCTTTAGGCCATTTGTCATGCCACGCCTTTCAAATGTGCAACGTGAACGTGCCATCGCAAGGACGATGGTTTGTAGTCGACGGACTGTTTATGATTTACAGACGCGTCTACAGCAAACGGGTACCACCGCTGATCGCCCTCGGCCAGGTCGACAACGTGTGACGTCAAATGCAGAGGATCGTCAGATTGTCTTACGTCACCTCCGTAACCGATTTTTGACGGCTACATCAACCAGAAATGAACTGTTTAGGGGTAGACTGAGTGCGCAAACTGTTCGAAACCGTCTGAGAACTGCTCACCTTCAAGCACGACGGGAATACTGCGGGCCGATTCTGACTCAATTACACAGACGTCAACGTCAATTGTGGGCACAGCGACACTTACGATGAACTCAGAGGAATTTGAATCAAGTCGACTTCAGTGATGAATCCCGATTTAATCTTCGATTTGCTGATGGTAGGGCGAGGGTATGGAGGCGCCGTCATTAACGTTATGCCCAGTGTTGTGTACAGGAAGTTGACAGATTTCGAAGCGGAAGTGTCATGGTTTGGGGTGCTTTCTGTGGCAATGCACGTTCCAGGCTTCTTGTCATCCGTGGCAACCTCAACGCTGCTGCTTACCGCGACCAAGTAATGGCACCAGAACTTCTGCCTTTTATGGCAGCACATGGACCGGGTTTGATCTTCCAACACGACAATGCCAAACCCCACACAGCAATTTTGACAAGGAATTTCCTTCAGAATGCGGGCGTCAATGTCATGGACTGGCCGTCAAGGTCTCCCGACCTCAATCCCATCGAACACGTCTGGGATGCTCTTGGCAGAAGTCTGCGCACTCTCCAGAACCAACCACAGAATTTGCAAGATCTTGGCACCATTTTGCAGCAACAATGGCGTCGTCTTCCCAATCATGTGTTCACAAGCATCACAAGGTCCATGCGGAGGCGTTGTGTGGCATTTGTCAACGCACATGGTGGCCATACACGCTACTGAACTTGTATGCCATCAGATTCTCGTGCTTGGGACTTATGATTTAAACTGTTGATGTTATTACCGAATACCGTAGGTGCTTGGAACAAATTATGGTTACCACCGTTAATTAAAATCCTTCTTTGGACATTAATGATTAAAAATTACCTTCTCTGATACATTTGTCCGTTGTATATCATATATCGGATTACTTTTTAAAACGTGAAGTTTTTAATTTGACTCAGTATATTTTCAGACGTAATTAAATATAACTCTCGCAACCTGAAATAGCTTCGCTAACAGCTGACAATGTGCTTTTTGCGTGCACATACGTATTAAATGAAAAAAGTATCACTTCTTCCATTCATACATGTTTTTATTTTAGAAATTACATCATGTGAATATATAATTATGAAGCAGGGACAATCCGTTTAGGTGCATTTTACTCACTATGGCTTATGTAGGCAGTGGATGAATTAAGTGAGTGTCTGAGTTGAGTTTTGCGCCTCTTTTAGCCGTATTCCAGCATTGTCACAGCGGGGATCTACAGAGTTATAGGGCTTATACCTATTTGGACTCGAACCTAGACCATCGGAGTAACGATCATTTACATTTTAAAAACTTCGCCCTGAAATCAAGTATATTTGCTTATCGTCCTGACAAGTGTCTGATCCATTGTTGTTATTTCCAATTACTGTAACTTCTAGGAATAGCAAACATCAGTTGAATACATCTTGTAACAGGGTATGTGTGTCATCACAATATAATTAAATTTTCGTTGTGTTCATGGAAATTCCTGCATTCTGATTAGCTGAATTGGTCACGTGTTATTGCATTCATTTCCAAATGAATGTAAACAATAAAGCCACACCAACCGCGGCGCACTTCTTTTATTACTGCGGAATGTCGGGGAATCCCAATATTACAGTCGAGGGAATTCCCTTTCTGCTCACGTGTATCGTCATGCACAGGACATTTAGCGACTTTCATGTATATTCATTGTCCAAACTACCCTTTGAAACCGAAGGCCGAGAATGAATGAAACAGCAAACGTGCAGGCTCGCTCTCCTGTTTTTTTCCCGCTCGCCTCGGTTCAACTTTCATGTCTTCGGGTTTCATTTCTAAATAGCATTTCTCCAACTGTGTTTTAGCGTAATCAGGGAAGTAATGTTTGAATCACGCAGTAAATGACCATGTTATTTGAAACAGCCGCCTTCTCTCGGACATATTTCTTCCGGTTCGTTACAGTCTGACTGTTGCAGTTCTTTTCGCCTCTTGCCTTAATTGACAGGTCCTATAAACATTGTTTAATCCCACTCTCCGTTGATTGGCTACTGACTGTGTAGGCGTGTCAAGTTATGTGCATAAATTAAACGATCACCTGATTCATGTCACGCCACTGTATGTATTCCTACACCTGGAATGTTTATCAATGTCGTCATTTTTGTCTGTTTTGATGTATGCAACTGTTTGGGGTTAAACTATTGTAGATAAAACATGTTTTAAGTTGTCGAATTTAATTATAAGCATTGACCGTCATACTTATGATGACGTCATAAATTACAACTGTGACGTCTTAATGTATTTACATAAACTAGAATGGTCTCCCTACAATTGTTAATTTATAAATAATATATATATATATATATATATATATATATATATATATATTTAGCTTCAATAAGTTATTACATGTTCGCTATTTACAGAAACTATGGGAAAGGTCTGTTCTATTCGAGACCACGTCACATGCTTCCAACCAATAATTGGTAAGTAGGGGATAACATTGTTCTCTGTTACCTTTTCCAACAAAATATGCTATGCCAAAAAGTAGGACACAGAGAGCGAGTGAGTGAAACATTAACGCCACATCGGCAATATTTCAGTTATGCCGTGACGAGATAAAATCATACATTTTTAACAAATATATTAAGATTTTATAAAAGGATGTTGTTCAAGGACAACTCAATAAGTAGATTATCACAAGATTTTAAAACAGCGTGTAAAAGAATAAACTATCAACTAACAGGAAAATATAAAAGGGGGATATAGATCGCCAACAACCAAAGCTCGGCCACCCTATAGGGACCTTGGGGACTTACAGTACTCCTGCGACCTGCATGTTTCCCCAGCAGGAATTCCACCCTGCTTTCAGCTGCTGGCGATTATACGCAATTTAAGCCATCAATGTCACATGACAAATATACTCATTTTAAAATTCTTACATGCATTAAAAAGTACTTTGTATGACGTGGAAATTACATACCCTCTTACGGGGAGAATAATGGTATGCTAATTCAACCCAACCCTCCAAAACACACACACACACACACACACACACACACACACACACACACACACACACACACACACACACACACACACACACACACACACACACGTATTCATATTCATAAAAAAACACACTTTGTACATCAATATTTATGAATTAATATTATTATATTTCTTTTAAAAATCGTAATATTAAATGTGAACTATCATGAATGAAAAAGGCCCCTGGCTGTTTGTACACTGAAATATTTATCCTTTGTGATGGAAAAATCAATACAGTCAAGCAGGACCTGCTTGACCGTGATACTGTTTCACAACAGATACAAAACGGAGGATCCTCACCTTTCAACAAGTATTTCGGGATTGGCCAGTACGACATCGTCTCAGAATGACCTCCTCAAAGATGGACTGACAACCCAAGTATATGCACATGTTGTACTTGCAGAAGTGTAGACACGCGGGGCATTTCACACATTTCATTCGCAAATTTGTTAGTGTTTGTCTGTTTCACATTTATTCAAAATCATGAATTCAGAAAAGCGATATGAAATATATCCACACCACTCGACACATGAAACTGTCTGCAACACTTCTCTAATTCGAAACACGTCCCCGCGGCAAAATGAACCCGTCCATTATTGCATGTACAAGGTTGCGTTTGTCTGAACTATCATTCAATTTATGTTATTTTTTTCCTGAAGCGGCCCTTCCAACCGTCTTAGACTCGATTGATTACATGACAAAGCTGTTGTATTGCCGAATGCGGAGTAAAGTACTATCCACAAAGTGTTCGTAGCTATCCTTAACGCCGAGCTGTATGTTTATAGACTTTTGTAAACTTCATTTGGATACTTTTATACACTACACTTAATTGATATGAATGTGACATGATATGGTTCAGGATACCTCATAATTTATGTTACAATGTAATTTAATATGCATCGTTGTCGAGTTTAGCATGTTCAGGCTAACAAACGAAAAAGCCGATGTCGGAGCATTAAGCTTAGTGTTGAACAAATCCATGGTGTGACCTAATCCAATTGTGGAATAAGCTGATGTTGTAACATTAAACTGACGTGGTGGCACGTGCACAGATCGCAGGGTCACAAATCTGTTGCAGTTGAGCAACGTCGGATGGGTGACCATGTTCGAAAGCTTGGCTCCTGAGTTTCTAGGGCTTCGGTCCTGCCCCACACAGCACATGTAACCGAGAGGTCGTTTGCCTCAGTTGGTAACCAAGTTTTTAACAGGCCGACAGTTTTCAAGTTCGTGTGGGTCAAACACTGTCTACCATTATAATCAGGATCAGGGTGTCCCACAGGGCAGTATTGCATCCGTCACTTTATTTGGTTTAAAGATTAATAGCCTTTCAAAACTTATAAATGATTCACTTGATGGGTCACTTGCAATCTGTGCAAAGATCTGTGCACCGCCCGGGCATGTACTCTTGCAACCGGTCCTTTATCTGTCTGATAGTTTGCAACCGATTTCCTAATACCATTGTTGTGACTTAAGTACTGTCGCAAATACTGGAACACTGGTTTTCTTGCTTCATTTAATAAATACGAGACATAGGACTATAGAAAGAGTATATATCAAAATAACGCAAATTGCCATAATCTAGCCTGTCCGAACCGACACTGTGATTACCCTTAAAATGTACTTTTACAGGTAAAATGATGATCAATATTCGTGTGTTGTCATGCATGTATAAAATGGCCTATAACCTGAGGTAATTACCTAACACCTGCCCCCAGGTGATGACCTCACACTGCCCCATGCATTCTCACAGGTGCAAATGTCACCGAGTTGGGGCTGGTCTCAAAATATTGCTGTTATTGTAGTACTACTTAATTGACATGCGTTGATGGGGTACCAATTTAGGATATATGTACAGCATTATATTTGCTTGGAAATATGATAGAATAGTTAAGAGCTACGAAACGGGATGAGCATTGGAAGGGATTTTGGAATCCAGAAGTATTTGTTGTTCTACAGGTGATTTCTTGAGGTAGCATTTATCTCCGCTGATATGATTCTGTACTTTTGAATGTTGTGTTATGTCTTGCCACCAACCCTTTACACTTGGTCAAGATGGGCTCACAATGTCTGACTGGCGTACTTAAGACAACGCACATATGTCCTGTACTTTACAGGGTTCTTATTCAGCCGAATTTTCTCCACTTTCCATTCGTATGGTCTGAAGTCGTCAATGTCATATATTTCTGTATGGTCGCCTTCAGACTACTCATGGTTTGGGTGACAGTATCTGATTCCCGGACGTTAACCTGCCTATGAACTCATCATCTCCTATAATTTCGTTATGAAAATCACCAGTTTTCTTTTTCACCTCGAAAATTAGCGCACATCCATCAATAAGCCCCATATCATGGGTTGCAGCGTGCAAAGCAAGGACACGATTGATTGCCTTTACCTGATGGTCTGTGGGTGCTTTTTGTCCATCTGCCGATAGCCACATGTAGTCAGTGGAATGATTCATCAAGGTACATTATCTGGACGCCCTGACTCTGATAGTTATGAATGGTTCGGAGATAATGTGACCTCATAGACAGGATGGAATATTTTCCCCTGAAAAGTGCTCGGTCATCGCCACGCGCAGTGTATCGAAATCCATCTCTTGGAGGGCAATAGTTAATGCAGTTAACATTAATTGTATCTTTAATTCCTCCCAAATTTTACTACAAGTCAGGGTTACCTTCTGCTCATAAAGCTTGTACACTGTATGCCTAATCGTCCTGTATCAAAGCTGTCTGATATCCTTTTACGTTCCAGTTTTGTTTTTGAGACCACCCCTATACCTCCATGATGGCATTTGTGTGTGGATCAGATGTTTTATGAAGACTACATTATTATTATTATTATTATTTTAACGGAGTCACGTTGGCACATTTCTATACTCCGTTTCAGACTGCTATTATTGGACTTGAATAAATGTAAACTTGCTGTTTTGGTTCGAATTTGTCTCCTGTAAACTTGTCGATAGGACCCCTTGTGACTGAAATACTTCAAACCACAGGTAGGTCTATCGGTAGTTACTCTATATTTCAATAACAGCAGTCTGTGAAAAATTAAATCCCTTTTTAACAGGCAAAAAGCAGTATTCTAGCATTTCCGACAGAACTTTAATCTGTCCACGGCTTGAATTGTTGCGTCAATCATCGATGTGATGTGTTTTTTTATTATCGTTCCCACAATCTGCCGATGATAGATTTAGAATCAAGCAGAGTTTGGGGAGCAATATTCTAACGTGTGCCCATATGCAACATGCCTGTGACACGTAAACGTCTTATAATTAATGTTGATGCTTCCGTTATGATTAAATGAGTTCAGTAATGTGCCTTTGGGCGTTTGGTTCCCAGAAAACAATATGCGTCTGCTCACAGCAGAGCTGAAGTCGTCATGGCAGCGGTAATCTGGCACACCGCCCCTTGTAGGTGCTGTTCGAGGTCACGTGCTTCATGACTGTCAAAATGTTGCGTTTGAAAGCTTGATTTCTTCAGATAAGTTCTTGTCACATACATCACTTGTTTTCATTGTCAGACATCGTTGTATTCCCCCTCTTGTTTCACCTTAAAACAAAACATGTCCTACTTTTTGTGCATAGTTAACAAAATAATCACGAATAATCACGAATCCCTGCCGTTGAGCTGACAGACTAGAGATCGAACCAAAACATAACTTTTAGTAAATATCATTCTCTCACACATATATTAATATCATTATGACTCATTTTCATACCATTTATTAACTCCTTTTGTGTCTATAGTGTGCGTCACCTAATGACCTCACGATGGAAAGGTTGCCAAAACATTCAAGGTGCAACGATACACTCAGACAATTTACCTTATATTTCCCTTATATTTCAGTACGCTCGTTGATGAATGCGACGATTCATAAATCGTGTGGTTGCCAGCTACCATGTTCGTTCGAGAAATATTCCGTTAAAGTGTCATCAGCCAGTTACCCCTCAGATGTTTCAGTAGACATGATAATGAACGAAACCATGTCTCCAGACAAGGAATATGTCAGGCAAGTATACATGTCCTTTTATGATGGATAACAAATGGTTTTGATTATTTACTCCATTACCACCATATGCATGAGGAAATAAATATTTTCTGATCTACCCACACATGTCTGATCGACCGTTAAGTTATTCTGTACCAGTCGGTCATTAATGAGTTTAACGCCCACTTCTGGTCCAGTCAAATTCGAAGATGGTCTTTAACAATAGATGACTCCGTCGCTGAGACTTGCATCTCTGCGGACTTTCTTAATTGATTGTTATGACATGCTTCCACGTCACCCAAACGTCTGCGATTTTCAGTTAAACATCTACCTACAACATGAAGTTTCTTGCCATTGCTTTTCTGGCATGAATACGGCGGGGCTGCCCCCATGGTTAAAGTGTTCACTCGTCACGTAAAATATGCGAAGTCCGTTTCTAGTTTTCTGATCAGTGACTTTACATGTATTTATTTAGAAAATCTTTGTTTCAGCACAAAATACAATACATACTTCTACAATCTGTTTAATTTCAGAAACAATTATCTCGAAATAAAGGTATTCTATGAAGATCTGATTGTTCAGTCAACAGTGCAAACTCCACAGTATACAATAGAGACCATCATGGGTGAGCTGTTCAATATCTTCCCCAGTATACTATATGATCCATAGACGAATACGTTTGCACCCATAATATAGACCATATTATATATCCATAACGTGCAATTAAGAGAGACATCATACTAAAGTTGTTAAGCTCATATTAATAACAACTTCATTTTCGTGAAAGGAATTATTTCATTCCTCCAGAAAAGTATTATGTCTGCTGAAACAAATACATACAATCGATGTGAATGTCTCACTTTGACCTTCCTGATGTGTTGCCAGGTAACCTTGGGGGTCAGATGGGCATTTGTCTCGGAGCCAGCATCCTAACTCTCACAGAGCTTGCGGAATTCCTCATCATTCTTGGTTTGACTATCTTCGCAAAATTGCGTGATCGTCGACAAAACGTGAAACGTATCCATCCTACTAGTCCCTAAAGTATCAAGAATAATACTGTAATAATCACAATCTACAAGAATATATTTGCTGTATCATGATTTAATCAAAAGTGGGAGTATATATGCAGGAAACAAATAACTAAATACAACTATTTGCATTAAGAGCTATAACAAGTCTAACTTAACCAAATGAATACATCTGCGTCATTTATCAGGTACAGTTTAAAGTTTTTAGGCATGCAAACGGTTGTTTAGAAACGCGTGTACAGTTTTGACAAGTTGTGCAGTACATATCAGACGCCTTGTTCCACGTGTTAGTTAAATGGGGCTGTGCTCAACTGAATGATACCAGCTTCAGTCAAGGTCTCCGTTGTCATGAGTACGTTTCGTGTGACACTGTCGTTTAGTCATTACGGGGCAGGATGACCTGGTGGTGAATGTGTTCCGAATGCCCGGGTTCGACTCCACACTAAGGTACAAGCCTCTTTCATGTGTACCTCACCATGAATATTTCTAAAGTGACGCAAAACCCAACTCGCCCAACTATGTCATAAGTGCGTTAGTGAGTTAGTTAAAAAGGTTCGTCACATAATGTGACTTGAAGAAGTTTAAAATAATAATATTTAAAAGGCTGTTGTCAAAGGGCAGTACCTACCACTCATTATCACAGGTGTACTAAAAACTAGTTGGAGAAAATTTGTAACTGATTACTAGTACTAATTAAACACTAGCAATCCAATAATAGTTTAAAACGATTTACAAACATCAAAATCTGTCTTTTCTCTTGAAATGCCCAATAATAAACAAGGATTAACATTTTTTAACAGTTGCACTGAAGTATGAATCCCTTGCAATGTTTGACTGATAAGAAGGGATACGCACTTGGGGATCCTCCCCTTTAATAACACAATCATATGTATTCCTAATCTGGCAGCGTCGTATAACGACCTCTTAAATATGGACAGACAACCCAAATAGGTGCAACCGATAGTTAATTGTATTGAACGTAATTTCTTTATGTCCACTTGGATGTCCGACTTATTTTGCATTTGATTTGTGATTGGTATATTGTGTGAAGACATGAGAGAGAATCAGACACAAATGTATAAGTTTAGACTCTTTTTAAATATATTCAAGGGCAGGTTAAATTGTTTGGCCTTCTGCTGTGAAATGGAACAGTCATATGGTAGCAAGGACGATATATCTTAGGATATTTCCAATAACAGTGGGGCTAGCGTCACCATCCTTTGATTCATCTGTAAAACTAGATTAGTAAATATTGTAAGTTCTTCGTAATTGAATACTAGTATATCATCCGTGACGATCCGGGTGAGAATAGGTCTTCAGTAACCCATGCTTGCTGTAAAAGGCGACTAGGCTTTTCGTAACAACAACATAGAGTGTTGTGATATATTGTAAGGATATATAGTGGGAGGAAAGCCCGAAGTGATGCAGGTCTCAGACGTTCACAACTTTGGTGAAACCCACGAACAAGGGTATGGTGCTGGTAAACCTGGAAACATAATTGGGGCGAATCTGAATTCGAACCCACAATTATATGTTCCAGGCGTGCCCAAGGGACGCAACGATAGTGATACCCGTGCCCCCTCACTGATAATAACTAGTCAGTTATATTGTACAGGTGTTCCGATTTAAATACGCAGAGGGTATCACTAGTCTACAAAGGTATAAGTTACCACGACGACAGTCTAATAGACTAATGGACATAGGTCAAACCACCTGTTACGTAACAAGCTTCTGTATGCACAGCTGGACAGCGTCGGGAAAACGACGCGGGCGTACAAACTGATGTTCGGTTTAAGTAATTAAGATCATCGTGATTAGTTGAGGCGGTTGCACTTATGAAAGATGTTTGTCTTCAAAGGGGCCATATGGTTATTGCCTCAACTAAAAACTCCTGGGAATTTAACATTTAATTAGAATATGACAAAAGCAAAAAAAATACAATGGGACAGTCCCTTCGTGTGGAACCTTGTCATACATGCCAGTATATGATATTTACTACTGTATAACTTTTCATCATCATATGTAACTTTCATAATATGACACTGTAACCATGGTATTTGTGTTTCTGTTTGTCCAAACGACAATGCAATGAGCGTCTACCAAATCTCAAGAGACGCAATGCAACACATATACAACTTCAATCAAGGTTAAACAAAAAATATTTACTGCCATATAACATTAGTGTCTGCAATGGTAAGAAGTTTTCTCAGAAACTGCTGAAGTTAGCATATCTAATAGGTACTTATCAAGACTGAGTTATTTGTGTCCAGAGACGGGGCCTTTTGTGTAATTTTAATGTCACATTTAATCCTTTTTTTCTGATGACATAAAGCAGCTTCCAGCTATATGTAAATAATCGAGTCCGGACCAGACAATCAAGTGACTGATATTGTGAATAACCATCCCCGCTATTGTCATCAACCAAGTTCGCGACCCTGGCAATTTCGTGATAGACATCACGAGCATGGATCTACGCAGTTGGAATACGATGACATGCATCAACCAAGTCTGACCACACAATCCCATTAGTCGCCTCTTACGACACGCGTAGTCGCCTCTTCCGGCAAGCATGGGTTGCTAAAGACCCATTCTCTACCCGGATCGTCACGGGTCTTATAGGCTATGTATCCTTCAGATACAAGTCAATGTATAGTAGACAATACAACTAATGTGTAACAAACTGTGATTAGCAGATAATCGAACAGATTCTGCTCGGTCATGCCGTACGCAAAGTGAGGTATCTATCATGTAACTATACTCCCTCGAGTACACCACCCCGTGGTGACATCACTTTGTCGTCACACAAATTCAATACGAGTGTAGGCAAGGTACAGTGTTTAAGTATGTATATTCTATTTATTCCATTATCATTATGTACATCAACATTAACTTCATAATACTGCCGGGGGCACGGGTGGCCCAGTCGTGTAAGGCGCCGCGATTCGCTGTGCAGAGTTGCGTCCCTTGGGCACGCCAGAAACCTATGATTGTGGGTTCGAATCCCGGTTAATCCCGATTATGTTTCTAGGTTTGTCAGCACCATACCCGTGCTCGCGGGTTTCACCGAAGTGGTAAACGTCTGAGACCTGCATCACTTCGGGCTTTCCTCCCACATTAAGCTGACACGCCGTGATATAACTTGAATACTGTTAAAAGCGGCGTTAAACCCAACTCACTCACTCATAATACTGCATCTTATAATCTCAATGTTGTTGACTTCATCATTTGTAAATACACCAAATATATTATTTCAACTTGGACTACACATTCTTGAAATTCACTCTTGGAGTTCATACATTTCACAAAAATACTATTTTACATAACAAATGGCCGTATCGTCTCCATCATGCAATAATGTTATCAACAATTCTAACAATATATAATCAAACAAGCAATCTGCGTGTATCTTACGATCAGTGCCTCCGAATGCCATCATTTTGAACACAGCCCGCCAGTTACAACATCAAGCGTGCAAGGTATCACGATATATATTTCAAGGGCTGTTCCATGAACAAGCAATGACCCTCGAAATATCTGGTGTACACGGGTAGTTGATTTGATTTCAAATCAGCACCGGACATGGCCCATGCATGGCGTGCCACCCCGTTTAATGTTTGCCACGTGCGACACAGACGATCGTAAATAGAGATCGGTCGGGCTCGCTCGTCTGAGGAGACAAGACAGCCACCCCATCAAATATCTTTAAACACATTCGTAGTTCGATTTAACAACTGACATTTGTATTTTTATATTCATTTCAAATTAACATTAATCCATTTGGCTTGTCAACTGAACTTATGTCATCGCTTGCTTGTCCGGCATGCTTCGTTGTTTGTGTCGTCTGTAAACCTTTCGTCCTCAGAAACCGCTGGTAAAAGAAGAGTTTTCGTTAAACCTACCGCCGATAAAGTTAAAAACGTATGACAAGCTAATGCCTTCATTAATACCTAAAGCGTGCGATGACTTGAAAATACTTTCTTTATTCAAGAACGATGTGGTTGTTACATCTGGAGACCGAGTTTTACTTAAGAAATGGTGCACATGCAGAAAGTCAGTATTTGTAAATCCTTTAAAATGCACTGGTAGTTTATACAGTTTTGATAAACAATGCCATTCGGGAAAATCCGATTATGTTCCATTCAAACACGGAACCCGTGACAAAAAATGAGCATCTTCACTTTGATCAGTGTCTTAATAGAATTCTTTTTTAATAAATTGGATGTACTTCACAGAAAGATGTCACACATGGATTGAAGCTGAAACCATTAGCCAAACATTTCACAGTGATGAGTCCACGTGTTTATAAATGTAAATAGACCAGGACGGTTGGCGAAAAAACGTTATTTATCTCTAATTGCTGATCGATCAATTTCATGAATCAATAATACAAAGACACCTCTTAGATTTGATTGGCGGTATCGATAAATAATACATACAGTTTTAGTAGAGAGTTATTCTGCAGTCTGTACACGGGCATGTATGACAACAGTGTATGATTCTGAGCAATTGGAAATGCCATCAAGCGTGGAATCATTGGATACACAGTCTGCTTGGTCAGATGGAACTGTACCCACTAGTGAGATCATAGAATGTTTGTGGTCTCATTTCACACAGGCACTAGATTTCATGGAGTTAATAAACTGTTCCCTGGACGTCATTACAGAGTTAGATGGTGGGTAGAATCAATGTTGTGTGCAGAACATAACATATTATGATAATTTAATATGGTTGCTATGCTGTCATGTACGTTGATACGAGTAAAGGAATATACACTGCAACGCAAAACCTAGTTATCGTGTTCTGCTGGATTTCTGCAAAAACTATAGTATTGTTTTATGGCACTAATTAAGAGTTTTATGAGACTATCACGCCGTCAACGCGTGGCGGGCCATGGTAATACTCTCCATACATGTTCAATGTATTCTTTGATGCTACACTGTGAAAGAATTGCAGGTACATGTAATGTTAGTAAAATAGTCTTGCCAAAGTAATGCTGTCTTTTAATATTCTTACTGACATCATTGGGCGGTCGGGTAGC